GCGCTCATCAGCTGGTTGTGGATCGGGGCAGGCCGAGCTCGGCGAGGCGCTCGTGCCCGGGGATTGCCAGCCTCGTGGAGACCGCGCTGCACGGCCCTGTTCGCGGCCCATCTCTTCCTGCGGATCCTGATGATATCCTCGATGTAGATCGCGCGCTGCACGCGGTCGCGGGTGACCCGCCGACGCGCTTCTAACATCCGCAGCGTCTGCATGAGCTCGGGGACCTTCCTCGCAGGCAGGCCCCTGCCGCGGGCAGCGGCAGCCAGGTACACTGCGTCCGTCATGGAAGTAATCGGCGCTGGGTAGCGGTCGGCGCAGCAGGCGCCGTGGCCCCAGCGCTGGGAGCGGTTGTCGAGGCAGGTCCTGCCCTTCACAGGCGCACGACCTCCGTTCAAGATATAGCGCCTCCGGGTGCCAAGGGCGAACTCCAGCTTGATGGCCGAGTGGTCGGATTGCGCGCTGTCGGCGATCTCCTCGAGCGCGGTGCTGACTTTCCAGATGTCGCGAGCGGGTATCAGGACATAGTCGATCTGGGCTGGCGGGTGCTTGAAATCGCAGTGACAGGTGGGTCCGCTGGCCGCCGCAGCGAACGCGTTCGTCGCCGCCAGGTCGCGCTGCATGAGAAGCCTCGTCAAAATCTCGGCGCGACGCGTGCGCTGACCTAGTGGGAAGTCCGCAAGCCAGCGCTCCTCGCCCGCCTGCGGGGGGGGGGGGCACGGCCGTCTGCGCGCCCACGCCCACGATGGGGCACGCCCCAGGCGGTGCCATCATGATCAGGTCGGCGAGCTCATCCATGGAGTCCTCGCGCTGACTGAGGCAGCGCCCTGGAAAAAGGCGACTGCATACTATCCAATAATCCTCCTTGCGGATGCGAAGTAGGCGCGCCGCCGAGCGCCCCCATGGCAGCAAATCTCCTCGTGGAAAAGTCGAGCCCGAAAGCGTACCAGCAGCCCCAGTGGCTTTTGCCCCTCGACCCGCGGTGTGACCAGATAGAGGTCGCCCTCGCCGACCTCCAGCCTCGTGGTCTTGCCCCAGTAGCCGGCCTCCTGGAGGATGGCCACGTCGTAGTCGTGCTGCTCGCGCAGCGTCGCTGCAAAGTACTCGACATTGTGCTTCGCAACGCCCTGAGCGTTCTGGCTGATGAGCTTGAAGCACATTTGCTCCTCGGACTCCTCCAGAGCCCTCTCCTTGTCCGGTCATTGGCCCGCGTTGACCTTGGCCTGGAACTCGACCAGGCTGAGGTGCACGCCCGCGCGGGCGCTGATGTCGGCCGCGACGTGCTCCTTGAAGCTCATGAGACCCGCGGTCCTCACCATCTCGCCGAACCTGCGCTGCTTCCACCAGATGATGCCTCGAATGTAGTTCAGCTCGAGGTCCGCCGCCTGCACGCCCAGGTTGTCGGTTATCTCCTTCTTCGCACGTGATATCATCACAAACAGCCGAATTTATTCAGAGAGTTTCTCCACAAAGAACCAAAAGCGACGACCCAAGTGATGCGGCTGCGGCATAGTGATCTGCTTCCCTTTCATCGAACGTACCCAGGCCCACATGCGCCCCGAACTCGTGAAACGGACCTTCAGGAAACTGGCACGCTCGAGCGGGACGAACACCCCATCCTCTGTTTTGTCGGGAATGGCGTCGGTAAGCGCACGAGCTTCGTTCAGGATGGTGTCGCGGGGGGGGTCCCGATCCCAGCCGCCAATAGTCACACACATTTTGTCGCAAGCCCTCTTCGGCCCCGTCGCGGCCGGCTGCGCCGACGCGCTCTCGACCCCCGAGAAGCGTAGCGGATGCCCGACCGAGGAAGCCGCCGTGGATGAGGGAGCCGCCGAACGTCCCTCTCTTAAGTCCTTGATATCCTGCTCCATGTTGTTGAGGCGCCCCTCGTGTCTCTCGACGTCCCTACGTACATTGTCTATGGACGTCTTCACGTCCGCGAACTCTTTCGCCATCGGTTCCTTGATCTCGGAGCGCAGCATTTCCCAGAAGTGCATCATCATCGTGGGTCCATCCATGGCTGCCGGCACTGGTACTGGCTCGCGCGAGCGGCTGCGCGAGCCCATCGACAGCTAGCACTAGGAGGAAGAGTCGTGAAACAGATGGCAGCTGCGAGCCCCAGCCCATGCCGCCGCTTGAGCCAACAGGCAAAAAAATGAATGCTGGTGATGCTGATGATGATGATGCTGATGATGATGATGATGATGATGATGATGATGATGATGATGATGATGATGATGATGATGATGATGATGATGATGATGATGAGACTGATGATGATGAGACTGATGATGATGAGAAAGAATGGCGGCGCCTGAGTTGTGAAAATGACTCGAGCGACGGTGCCCGAGTTGTGAGGATGTCTCCATCGCAGGCGCCCAAGTTGTGAGGATGCCTCGAGCGGCGGTGTCCGAGTTGTGAGGATGCCCCGAGCGGCGACGCGCAGGTCGAGTCAGGTCTAGCGGAACATTACATTATGATGCGTGGCCGAGGTGGCACTCCAGCGCCCCAAGCGAGACGCCGCTTCGAGTCAACACGGTAGCGGAATCAAGCCGAATCAGACGAGGCGGAAAACGCCAGAAAAAAAGTCACACCGAGGCCCCTGGTAACTTTTTCTGGCCCAGGTACAGCGTTACCCCAAATAGCCCAAGTAGCCAAAGTTGCGAGGATGTCTCGAGCGGCGCCGTACGAGGTGTGAGGATGTCTCGAGCGGCCCAAGTAGCCCAAGTAGAGGGTTGACCCAAGTAGCCCGAGTAGCCAGAATTGTGAGGGTGTCCCGATCCTCGGCGCCAGAGTTGCGAGGATGTCTCGGGCGGCTCCAGCAGCCCAAGTAGAAGATTGATCCAAGTAGCCCAAGTAGCCCAAGTAGCTAAAGTTGTGAGGATGTCGCGAGCAGCGGCGCCAGAGTTGCGAGGATGTCTCGAGTGGCCCAAGCAGCCCAAGTAGAGAGCTGATTCAAGTAGCCCAAGTAGCCCATGTAGCCAAAGTTGTGAGGATGTCCCGAGCGGCGGCGTGCGAGTTTGAGAATGTCTCGAGCTGCCCAAGTAGCCCAAGTAGAGGATTGACCCAAGCAGACCAAGTAGCCCAAGTAGCCAAAGTTGTGAGGATGTCTCGAGCGGCGGCGCACGAGTTGTTAGGATGTCTCGAGTGACCCGAATAGCCCAAGGAGAGCGTTGACTCGCCTAGCCCAAGAAGCCCAAGTATTCATGTCTCGAGCGGCGGTGCCAGAGTTGTGAGGATGTCTCGAGTGGACCAAGTAGCCCAAGTAGAGAGTTTTACCCAAGTAGCCCAAGCCCAAGTAGCGCGGCGCCAGAGTTGTGAGAATGTCTTGGGCGGCTCCAGCAGCCCAAGTAGAGGATTGGCCCAAGTAGCCCAAGTAGCCCAAGAAGCTAAAGTTGTGAGGATGTCGCGAGCGGCGGCGCCAGAGTTCTGAGGATGTCTCGAGCGGCCCAAATAGCCCAAGTAGAGGGCTGACCCAAGTAGCCCAAGTAGCCCAAATAGCCCAAGTAGCCAGAGTTGCGAGGAGGTCTCGAGCGGCGGCGCACGAGTTGTGAGGATGTCTCGGGCAGACCAAGTAGCCCACGTAAAGAATTGGCCCAAGCAGCATAAGTAGCCCAAGTTGTGAGGATGTCTCGAGCGGCGCAAGTAGCCCAAGTAGAGGGATTGACCCATGTAGCCAAAGTAGCCCAAATAGCCCAAGCAGCCAGAGTTGTGAGGATGTCTCGAGCGGCCTAACCCAAGTAGCCCAAGTAGCCAGAGTTGCGAAGAGGTCTCAAGCGGCGGCGCACTAGTTGTGAGGATGTCTCGGGCAGACCAAGTAGCCCACGTAGAGAATTGGCCCAACTAGCCCAAGTGGCCCAAGTAGCCAAAGCTGTGAGGATGTCTCGAGCGGCAGCGCCAGAGTTGTGAGGATGTCTCCAGCGGCCCAAGTAGCCCAAGTAGAGGATTGGCCCAAGTAGCCCAAGTAGCCCGAGTAGCCCAAGTTGCGAGGATGTCTCGAGCAGCAGCGTTCGAGTTGTGAGACTGCCTCGAGCCACTTGGGCTACTTGGGTCAAACCCGTGGGCTACAACTTGGGCTACTTAGGCTACTTGGGTCAAACCCTCTACTTGGGCTTGAGCTACTTGGGCTACTTGGGTCAACCCACTTTCAAAACACGCCTAGCGCATGCAATGGAATACGTTGCGCAAGTGGCAGCTGTTCTTTTCACAAAGAACAAGCCCCCCGGCTACCCTGGCCCTTGGTACACTGACACAAATATGTCCCGATCTTGTGGTCTCTTTCAGAAACCACGACCCCCCTGGCTCCCCTGGCCCTGGCACACTGACACCAGGTGCCGTTCGATCGCAGATCCTCGTAGAACCCTCGCCTCCTCCTCCTCCTCCTACTCCGCCTCCGGCCGTGTCGTGTTCGTTATGTGTGTGTTGTCCTTCGTTGGTTGTGTGTTTCGTTTTTCCGCGCCCCGTCCTCGCTCTGCTCTGGCTGCGAAGCGAGATCGACACGAGAACGGCCCACGACATCGCCCAACAAAAAAGCACCGCTCCGCTCGATCCCCGGAGGAGGGACGGCGGCAGGCGGGACACTATCCTCCTCCTCCTCCTCCTCCTCCTCCTCCTCCTCCTCCTCCTCCTCCTCCTCCTCCTCCTCCTCCTCCTCCTCTCCTCCTCCTCCCTCCTCCTCCTCCTCCTCCTCCTCCTCCTCCTCCCTCCTCTCTCCTCCTCCTCCTCCCTCCTCCTCCTCCTCCTCCTCCTCCTCCTCCTCCTCCTCCTCCTCCTCCTCCTCCTCCTCCTCCTCCTCCTCCTCCTCCTCCCCCTCCTCCTCCTCTTCCTCCCCTTGAGGAGGCCCGTGGGACGGCGGCAGGCGGGAGGGAGGAGGCTCCCTTGGCACTTTTGGGGGTGGCGGGGAGGCGCGGGCGAGGCTCGGAGAGGAGGCGAGCAGCGCCACGCGCGCCGAGGCGCCGGCTGGCCCATCAGAAAGACGGCGAACACCAGCGGGAACATGGAGACTACCTCGGAGCGCGCATAGACACACCCAGACATGATCGCGTCGTTAAAAAAAAACTGGACGGCAGGTTTTTGGTCGTCTTCGGCCTCGGGGGGCCCTCGCCGGGCCTCGGAGCCGTCAAAAAACAACTCAGGATGAAAAACCGGCCCCGGGGAAAGGGTCTGGACTTCAGGGGACGCCGTCCTGAAAAAAACAGGACGTCGCATGACTGGGCATTCGCGGGCCACCAGCGCGGCACGCCACATTGGAGACGGAGGCGCTTACGCGCGGCCTCACGCGGCCAGCTTGCGCGCCACTATCGGCGAAAACAACCCCGTCTTATTGCGTCGCTCACCTTGGAGCGCACAGAGACATACTAGTACTATACAGTGCGGGCGCGGCCGCAAGAAACCCTCGCAAGAAGCCTGGCCCTGAAAACCCGCGCGCGAAATGCACCTGAGGGGAAAAACCTTGAGAACCCCGAAGGCAGCAGCCCCTTCAACGACCGCGGGAAGTCACCGCGCAGCGCGCGGAGCGCAGAAACCCAGGGTACCCTGACGAAAAGCACGTGATTTCTTGAAGCGCGCCCCCACTGTATGTCTAGAGGCCTCCTAGATGGGGTCCGAGCAAATGGGGCCGCAGGATCGCGCCACATCGGCGGTACATCGGCGATCTGTCGACGTTGCATCGGCGATGCATCGGCGACGTTGGCGATGCATCGGCGCCGTCGGCGTGGAGAAAATCGGGCTCCACGTCGCGCCCGGCGCGCCGCCGCCACCGTGCCGGGCGAGGCGGAGCCCCGAGGCCCCGGTCCGCAGAGCTGCTCGGGAAATCGCCCGGGATCGGCAGGCGCGCGCCGGCTCGCCGCCGACCTCGCGCGACGGCGGCCCTCCGACGTCGGCCGACCCGGGGCCGCCGCCGGCGTCCAGCCAGCGAAGTCCCCTCCTCCTCCTCCTCCTCCTCCTCCTCCTCCTCCTCCTCCTCCTCCTCCTCCTCCTCCTCCTCCTCCTCCTCCTCCTCCTCCTCCTCCTCCGCCTCCCTGTCCTCCTCCCTTGTACCCTTCCTTCTCCCTCGGAGGTTCGAGGCTCGAGGAGTTCCGGCGTGCTGGCTGGCTCTGGCCGCTCGGCGGCTCTTTTGCAGGCCTCGGGAGGCCTTCCTGCGGCCGCGCCTCGCCGGGAGGTGTCTGGGGGCGTCTGCACCGTCCCGAGGGGCCGCCCGAGGCCCGAGGCACGACCCGATGGAAAGCCACGGGGGGACCGGCTCCGGGGAGGAAGCATCGGCATGGCAGCGGCGATATATCGCCAGTACATCTAAGGGGGCCACATGTGAACCCTTCCCCTGCCCCCCACGATTTCCGAGGGGGAGGGGGGCGGTCGCTTCGTTCGGGAGCTCCCGAGCGAAGTGAACCCCACCCTCCCCCTCAGAAATCGTGGGGGGCAGGGGAAGGGTTCGCAGGTGGCCCCCTAACATCGGCGACGGGGCCCCCCAGCGGATCCGCACGCTCACGGGCGGGCGAGCTGCCGGCCCCTGCAGTCGGGCCTAGACCACGAGAACATCCTGCAAGTTACCAGCCTGGAACATATCGGGTACCCTCTCCAGGATGCACACAGAAACAGCCAACAAACGCGACGAGTACTAGGATAACATCTCCGAACCGATCTCGATCTTATGCCTCGGTGCGACGGATGCCGAAGGTGTAAGGGCGCAACGCGCGGATGCCCCCAGCGCACCTGCGGGTGGCCGACGGAGCACGGCCCCTGATGCTCGCACGGTCTCTCGCGACGCTGGCGGAAGGCCCCTAAATGATTTGTCTGTGCAGTAGGGGCCCGACCACAAGAAGCCTTCCACAAGAAACCCAACCCTGAGACCCCAGGACGTCCATTGATTTTTGGAGTGGGAACGTCGCGCTTGCCACCGCAAAAACCATCGAAGCCCAAGAAACCCAGAGCACTCTAGAGGCAAGCAGGGTGCTTCTTGGCATGGGCCCCCACTGTAAGAGCTCTATTGTATGTTATGAGAACCTGAGAAGTGCGGTACTGGATCTAGAGTCGGGCAGGCGGCGCTGTCTTCCGTTGTTTCCAGTGGTCTCCCGTTTGTCTCCCTATGCCTCTTCCTGGCCCTCGATCCCTATCCCCATCCCTGCTATCCGCATCATACTTCCCTATCCGCATCCCGATTCCAATCCGTATTCCAGCAGAGCCATATCCCTGAATCCCTAACCCAATATCCCTACCCATATCCGCATCCCTGTAGTAGTCGCATTGATTTTCGAATGAGTAAATGTGTTCCTAATTGTACTGGTAGTAGTCGCATTCGCAATCATCTATGAACCCGGCGCGGCCCCAATTAGGGGAAAGCTTCCTGTTGCATGGGCGCAGTGCTTGGCATTGCTTGGCAATGCTTGGTTTTGCTTGGCATTGTTTGGCATTGCTTGCCATTGCTTGCCATTGCTTGCCGTTGCTTGGAATTGCTTGGAACGGCCACGAAAAAGAATACGAGGCACCGGGGGCGGGGTACCCGAGGAATCCGAGGAACCTGGGCAACCCGAGGAACCTCGGGGAAACGGGCAGGGTAACAATAGGAGGCACCGAAGGGGGGGAACCTGAGGAACCCGAGGAATCCGCGGAACCTCCGAGAAACGGGCAAAGTAACAACAGGAGGCACCAACGTTTAACCAAGTACAAACCCTGAGGCAAGCCTAGCTGGGAAATAAAATCACAGACACATACATTAGCAGTAGTAGTAGTAGTACTAGTAGTAGTAGTAGTAGTAGTAGTAGTAGTAGTAGTAGTAGTAGTAGTAGTAGTAGTAGTAGTAGTAGTAGTAGTAGTGATAGTAGTAGTAGTAGTAGTAGTAGTAGTAGTAGTAGTAGTAGTAGTAGTAGTAATAGTATAGTAGTAGTAGTAGT